ACATTCCAAAACCACAGACCATTTCAAAGGTACAGAGACAGACTATCAGTATAGGTGTTTGCTGTCTTGGCTTTGGCTAAAATGCATACTCGAGTGAGGGTCTGTAGCTGTTTATTGGGTTGAGTGACCTAAGGAAGGGTGGAGCCTCAATGACCTTAAAAGTGGTCAATACTGTATACCCAGAACAAAACCTACCATTCTTGTTTTTTAGGTAAGAGCTATCAGTCAACCAAGAAAGATCAGCATTTGCCAAGAAGGTTTCATGTAAGTCATCACAAAAGCTCAACAGGTGATCATCAAAATCAGAAAAGTCCGGAGAAATTTTTTCGGTGTAAGAAGAAGGAAAGGTAGCAGAGCTGAGATTGTTACAGTGAACGAAGAATGAAATAAGGGGTTAGTTAAAGAATTTCATAGGCAGTAAGGTGGCTTGGCCTTCTGAAGAAAGTTGAATGTGGCGCAATTTGAACAAAGCCTCGACCAAGATGGTCAAAGAGGATCCTGTATCTCTTTGGTAGCCTATACTAAAAGAGCAGTAGCAGGAACAGCTTTCAGGCATGGGGAATATCCTCAGGCCACTGGGTCTAAGTGTTAGCTGTAGTAACCTAAAGGTTGGTGATGGCCCCCATTGTTTCTGGGTAAACACAGCGAGGGCATTCAGCTCCTTCTCATATATGAAAAGGGAAAAGAACAGCTGGTAATTTAGGGCAGGAGGATTTATTAAGTTTTCCTTCAAGGTCCTAAAGGACAAGCTATTTTGGTCATCCAAACAACAGAGTCAGGTTTAGTGTTCTTCAGTAAGGCATATGGGGGCTAAGCCCTTAGGAGAAATTTGGAATCCAATTACAATAACCAGCTAGTGCGAGAAACTGATGTTTGGTGTGGGGGTTAGGAGAGTTTAAAATGCTTTAAAGCCTATCAGAATCTAGTTTAATCCCTGTTCTGAGACTAAATGTCCTAAACATTGGACCCAAGTTTGGACAAATTTCAATTTTACTTTCAAGACCTTATTTCCCTTAATGGCTAAGATTTCAAGAGATGAATACTGTTTTTGTTTGCGTGTAGTCTCGGGAGGGCAAAGTAAATTACCCCCATATTATTGTAAGGTGGAGCCTCCAAAAATTTTTATGTCAAGTCAGCTTTAAAACTTTTGAGAAGGGCTATCAGTAAAGCTCTAAGACTGACTGTCCAAGTATATTGTTGTCCTTCCCAGACAAAGGCAAAAACATATTGACTATTTCTATCAACAGGGATACTTAAATATGCACTGTGTAAATTGACCAGAATGCAAGAGGTGTTTTCAGTAGGGGTGGATGTCAATGGCATGTAGGAATTAGTTATGATTTTATTGTCCCAAGACATGGACAAATCCCCATCCTTGGTCATTGGGCTTTCTTATGGGCAAAGTAGGGGTCTTACATGGACAACTGCAAAGGATAATGAGTCCTTGGGCCTTATGGTCCAAATGGTCATAAAAAAGGCTGTATGCCCTATAAGTGTTCTTTATTTATAGGGTATTGGTTTATTGTTGAGAAAGGGCTCAATCTGGATCTTAATGTAAGAGCACTATGAATTCTGCCTACATCTGTTGAGGGTTTTGCCCAAAGAGCAAGGGGTCCAGATTTAACAGGGGGGTGGCGGGGGGGAGTCCAAAGTTTGAATTTCCTTGGTTGGCAGAATGTAAGTAAAGGCAAAAGGGGCTGAAATTTCCTGAGTGCTGGATTCAAACTCAAGGGCTATTTCACCCTCTGAAAGGAAAAAAATAGCAGTATTATAGTTCACCAGGAATCCTCATCCTAATAAGTGTATGGGAGCCAAATCACTGAAGAGAAAGGGGTGTTTGTCTTGCAAAGGTATCAGACAAAAAGATAGGAGCTGAGAAACAAGGACATGTTTTAGTTTATTTAAGACCTCCACTACTTGAACATAAATATTACTGTGAGTTACAATTACTCTAATTGTAGTGGGTTTGAGCACTGATAAAGTAGCTCCCATGTCAATTAATACTGTAAGGAATTCATCCCCAATCTAGAGAACAGTTTCCTCCAGTCTATTTAATGGCAGAATGGGGAACAGTCCCTATGTGTTCTCTGAGTTCCATACTGAGGTAAATTTGGCTGTTGGTTCTTAGATGGTTGCGACTATTTGGATTCCAATTCATAGTTAAATGGCCAGATTTTTTGAAATAATGACATAGTCCTGGACAGATCTGCTGTGGAGTGACATTCGAAATCTTAGCCATTTTTTTAAGTATATTTTATTGATTATGCTATTACAGTTGTCCCATTTTTTCCCTCTCCTTTATTCTCCTTCACCTGGTACCCCCATTTCCTCCAGCATTACCCACTTCCCACCCTTGGTTCATGTCCATGGGTCATACATGTAAGTTCTTTGGCTTCTCCATTTCCTATACTGTTCTTAACCTCCCCCTGACTTTTTGTGCCTACCATTTATGCTTTTTATTCCCTGTACCTTTTCCCACATTCTTTCCTTCCTCCTTGCCAATAACCCTCCACATAATCTCCATTTCTGTGATTCTGTTCGTGTTCTCGTTGTTTGCTTAGTTTGTTTGTTTTTTTAGGTTCAACTGTTGATAATTCTAAGTTTGTTGTCATTTTATTGTGCATAGTTTTGATCTTCTTCTTTTTCTTAGATAAGTCCTTTTAACATTTCATATAATAAGGACTTGGTGATGATGAACTCCTTTAACTTGACCTTATCCGGGAAACATTTTATCTGCCCTTCCATTCTAAATGATAGCTTTGCTGGATAGAGTAATCTTGGATATAGGTCCTTGCTTTTCATGATGTTGAAAACTTCTTTCCAGCCCCTTCTTGCCTGCAAGGTTTCTTTTGAGAAATCATCTGATAGTCTTATGGGCACTGCTTTGTAGGTAACTCTTTCCTTTTCTCTTGCTGCTTATAAGATTCTCTCCTTATCTTCAATCTTGGGTAACTTAATTTAGATGTACCTTGGTGTGTGCTTCCTTGGGTCCAACCTCTTCGGGACTCCTTGAGCTTCTTGGATCTCCTGGAAGTCTATTTCCTTGGCCAGATTGGGGAGGTTCTCCTTCATTATTTTTTCAAATGAGTTTTCAATTTCTTGCTCTTCCTCTTCTCCTTCTGGCACCCCTTGATTCAAACGTTGGAACGTTTAAAGTTGTCCCAGAGGTTCCTAAGCCTCTCCTCATTTTTTTGAATTCTTGTTTCTTCATTCTGTTCTGGTTGAATGTTTATCTCTTCCTTCTGCTCTAAATTGTTGAATTGAGTCCTGGTTTCCTTCCCTTTACTGTTGGTTCCCTGTATATTTTTCTTTATTTCACTTTGCATAGCCTTCACTTTTTCCTCCATTTTGAAACCATACTCAACCAATTCAGTGAGCATCCAGATTACCAGTGTTTTGAACTGTGCATCTGATAGACTGGCTATTTCTTCATCACTTAGTTCTATTTCTGGAGCTCTGATCTGTTCTTTCATTAGGGTCGTATTTCTCTGTCTCAGCATGCCTACTATGTTGGAAGGGGTGGAACCTTAGGTATTCGCCAGGGTGGGGCAACCCAGGTCACTGAGTTGTGACGCTGTGTGTGAGGGGGAGGGGTCTGAGAGGGAACACCACCACTTGCTGGGCTCTCCCCAGCTTGCAGTCACTTCCCCTACTACCCACAAGCTAATTGGGCTCTTCCAGTGCTGATTCCTAGGTGGGTGGGTTTGTGTACGTTCTAGGATCCAGTGGGTCTCTCCAACAGTCTGTGACACTGGGAGTTTCTCCTGCCACCTCAACTCCCACAGTTTTTACCTCCAGAGGTTTTGAAGCTTTCTTTTCTTGCACTAGAACCCTGTATTGCGCAGTAATTCCTCACGGTTTATCTTCATGCAAATGTAGAACTGCCCTGTCTGCCAGCCACCGCCTTGCCATACATCCTCTTGGCCCCAGCTTCCTGTCTCTGCCCCTCCTAACAGTCTGGATGAATGTTTGTTTTTTACCTTCTTGGTTGCTGGACTTCCATACAGTTTGATTTTCTGGCAGTTCTGGTTAATTTCTGTTTTTAAATTTGTTGTTGTCCTTCTCCTGGTTTTGCGAGGAGGCAAAGTGTATCTACCTACGCCTTCATTTTGGCCGTAAGTCTTGCCAACCCACAGTTTTAATCCAGTATTGGATTAAATCCATGTGGATTAACTGACACAGACTGGAGAGTCCCGATGCTAAAATAGGGTTATAATATTGAATTTTTCATCAAATCTATGGGAATCCTTAGTTACCTTCAGAAAATCTTTAATTATAGCCCTAAGTTCAACCTTTGTTTATAGGATATAGGAAATCTAGGGTGGTTTAGTAGGATCCTCAGAAGGTCTAATCTTAAAAGGGAAAGTTTTAATGGGCTTGGTTGGTGAGGTTTATGCAATAGGAAAGAAAGTGCAGATAGAGGGACGGGATTAGGAGGGACCCTGGTTAGAGGAAGCAAAGAAGGATATAAAGGAGGTAGAAAAATAGGTTAAGAGGGACCTTGGTTAACACAAAAAAAGAGGCCTGTGGATTTTTTTTAACCTATATTTAGTTGTTTATTTGTTTTAGTCAATTTGGAAAAAGTATTTTCTAAGGAAGCAATTTAGAGTGCTAAAACATGTTTAGAAGCCTCCACATACAAAATTCAAATAACTATCCCATTTGGATTGTTTAGTTTTGTAGTCACAGTCTTCTTAGTTCCGAGAAAAACAAGTTTGGGGACATCAAAGGTTCTCCATACAGCTATTAGAGTTCTAAGTTATCCTTTGTAAAATTGGTCCATTTAAAAATGAGCATGAGAAAGAAAAAGCGTAATTTCGTAACATAACTGGGCCAGGGTCCCCCAAAGAGAGGCACCCTTAGAACATTCAGATGCCTGGGATCCCAGTACCAACAACTAAGAGTACTCACCAGAAGGACAATTTGTCTCCATCCTGAACCTAAATAAAGTCACAGACTTTGACTGAAAGGAGGAAGCTCGAGAATGAGAAGAGACTTACCAAACGAATAGTTACAGTGACTTGTGGAAGTAAAGAACACAAAGGGCTCAAGTGTGACTAGCTCACTCAGTTTCAGAGATCTTCATTCCTTGGTGGTCAGCTCCTTCAGATCCCACTTCTGACACAGGTAATGCTGACCTAAAAAAAAAACCACACACACACAAGAGGTAAACTAAAACAAGCTCAAGTAACCAGAAACTGAGTTTATTCAGGAACAGCAGAGGAATTACAATTCTGGAGAAGCGAATCACAGAGAACTACAGGCAAGACTGATGATGGTTTAGGTCTGGTTGCTTTTATGGGCAAAAAGTAACAAAGGGGAAAGTTCAGTTAAAGGCCATGTAGTAAATTCATTGGTTCAAAGATGAAGAGACATTCTTGGCAGATATTCACTGGTCAGAGGGACAGCTTCAATCTTCTATAAATCAGACATTTATAGGAAGTCAATCTTAGTCTTTCATTTTTATGAGGGTACAAGCATGAGATTCTCCACTTCCTATCCTTCAGCAGTTCCATTTTAGATTAAAATTCTTTCATACTTTTATACATAACAAGCCTGAGGAACGTGCATGAGTAGCCAAGGGCATATGTAAAGCACACACTTGGATACATTAGTCTACAGCTCAGGGTGGAGCGGGGAGGGTAGGAAGCATGGGGTTGGGTCATCAGACTATAGGAATTAGGTAGTACTTAAAAACTAGGAAAGTGGATGAACTTCCTGAAGGGGAATTATACAGAATGATACAGAACAGCAGATCAAGGATGAAACCCTGGAAACACCACTGTTTAAAGAATGAGTACCGGAAGGATAAAATACTATTGAAGAGATTAAAAAAAAATAAAATACAACCCAACTGGAAGAAAACCAAAAAGTAGCCAAACAACAGCTAGTATTAACTGACTGTTAATATCTAGGTTCCAAATCAATCTCCTAACATGTACTGCTTCCTTTAATCCTAAATAGTCCTAAAAATAGGGTTTTTATTTTATTACTGCTTCTTAGATGAGAAAACTGTAACTTAGAAAAATAGGTATTTCATGGTAGTTAAGAAAACTGGTACATAGCCAGACTGCTAGGGTTAAAATCTTGGCTCTGTAAGCTATGTGTTTCAGCTTATTTTTTGAAGAAGGGGATAACAGTTCCAGCCTCCAGGGTTGTTGTAACAAATAAATTAATTACCCCATGTTAAATGCTCAGAATGATGCCTGGCACCAAAAAAAAAAGGGGGGGGGGTGCGGCGTAGAGATTTTCAAAGAAATACAATAGTGTCAAATAATCAACTTGTAGAATAAACTATTAGATATAAAACCTAATATATCTATAATAAACACTCATATCCCATGCTGCTAACCATGGTAACAGAGAAATACAAATATACACACACATACACAAACATACTGGGAACACGAAGACTAGATACATCCAAGGTGAATTCATAGAACAAAATGTTTCCCCAAATTGCCACCAAACAGAAAGTTACTTTAACACATTAATAATTCCATTTCCATTGTTAACCAGTGACTGAAACAAGATTAAAGGCAGAATGAGGCTTCCCGACACTGGACAGCTTATAATGTCAATATCTCTCATATAATAAGGCAGTATTTTATAAATATATGTAAATTGATAGCTAAAGACACTTTTACATTTTGAAGTAGATTTACTATTTAATACTCCAAATTAGGTGAATATCCAAGGGATCTGCTGAAATAGAAATCAAAACGGGTAAAATCCTTAAACATAATTATTTATAGTTTCATACTCATAAAGATTCAGTAGGACATACCAGCTATCTTAACTATTCTGTGCCATATTGTGTGAAGACCAGAATCTAGTTCTAAACTCATTTCCTCTCTTCTGAACATCGTGAAAGATCCTGATCTCATAAGAGTAACCAACAAAAGGCGTTAAATCGTGAACTGTCCCACTAACGTGGGATATTAAGAGAAAAAGAATTTCACACTTACTTTATAGACCTGATGTAAAGGATAAAAAGGACTAGAAATAATGTACTGCCAATTGTAAATTTACTGAGCATACAAAAATGCTTATCTTAGACTTAAGCTATCAAACTCTCGTTAAATTGCTTGCCTTGCCATTGGCATTGATTACTACTGCCATCTAGCAACAGGTCCAAAAATTCTTTAACAAAAAAATCATCCAGTACTCAAAGTTTCCAAATAGATGCTTTAACGTAGTAATTATTTAAATTTCTTCTATTAACCATGATAATTGAGATTGAATTGCATTTTCTTGGTTGTTCTTTTCCTTTTTTCTTCAATGTGGACTCATGAATTATTACCTCTCTTAACTGATAGATTTTATCCTCAAGCCTGATCTTTCTCCAAAATTCTAATCCTGTATTTCTAATGTCCCTCTAGATCCCTATCTCTAAAATTGCTGCCAAAACTTCAAATTAAATATACCCAAAATATCACTCAAATATCTGTATTCTTCATTTGTTAACTGCACAAGGTTTTCATCTTCTAAGCTCAAAATCTCAGAATCATCTATTGATTAAAGGGAGGCAAAGAACAAGATTCAACTAAGCTAATAAACCCCACCTTGAAAGTCATCCTTCACAGCTATCTCCTCACTGTTTTTTCTGCCATTACCCTCCAGTTGTTCTTGTCTTCTCCTTTTTTTAATTTTGAGAGTATGTTTATTAAAGCTGGGGACAGTGAAACAAGGAAGGGCCTAGTACAGATGTAACAGGAGACAGCCTAAGCAGGGCTGTTTTTATTCTTTAGAAATGTTATGGGAAAGTGAGCCAAGGTGCGGCTGTTATCAGCTCACTGGAAAGTCAGAGAAAAGGGGACCTTAGAAACAGGTTGATGGGGTAAGCTGGGGACCACCTACGGCTGCCCATTTTTCCACTGGTTGCAAGTCTCATGAGGACCCTTAAGAGTTTAGGAGAAAGAAAATTCACTCAAAAGGAGATGTGAGTGGGTGTGCCCCAAGGCGGGCACACTATCCTCCTTTCCTTTACCTCTTATCTGCAACTGTAAAACCTTCTACTTGCCTGACACAGAGCAAAACAGGAAACACTTAATCTAACATCTAACTGATTCCTGGACAATGATGGCAAAAATAGGAGAAAGTCTTAATACCCATAAGAGAAATATCATGTAAGTTTTGTTCTTAATAACTGCTTTCATGTTGTAAAAAATACTGACATTCAGCATGACACTAAATGGAAAGCAAAAGCAATATATGATTTAACAAATAGTTATTAAGTACAAATAGTTCTTAAATTAAATGCTTAATTTTTATAAAGCATCATACATTCTTTTGTTCTTTCTGCATGGGCTGCAGATATCTGAACATGTGAATTACATACTATTTTATAGAAACTCCAGACTTTTCAATATTATAATGGGTGAAGTATTTTTCCCATAGGAGAACTACATAAGGGGTGGCTATTCTCTCCAATAATCCTACATAACACTCTTGAATTGCCTGTATCCTACAAATGCTTCAAGACCTAGCTCACATCCTGCTAGCACTACAGTATCTTTCTTAACCCCGCCTAAAGTTAGTTTCTACTTCCCTTGAATACCAAAATGTTGTTTGTAATTCATAGAGCAATAATCATAGACTAAATATATTGAAGTGTTATGTCGTTATATTTTACATAACTGTATTTGTTTATCGCCACTGTAGAACATAAACTTTTAAAATTATTTATTGATTTATTTTTAGAGAGAGAAATATTGATATGTTGTTCCATTTATTTATTCATTCATTGGTTGCTTTTTTGTATGTGCCCTGACCCGGTATCAAACCCCCAACCTTGGCTTATCAGGACGACCCTCTATACAACTGAGCTATCCCAACCAAAGCCAGGAATAACCTTCTTAGGCACAGGAGCCATGTTCTCCAAATCTCTGTTCTCTAAAATCAGTCCATTACTGGACTACCTCATGAAATCCTACTTCCCATGAGAGTGTAAACATACAAACACACACAAGAAAAATTTAGTACAGGAAGAAAAAAAAAACCCAAGATAAGGAACTACACATACATGTAAAACAATGTCAAAGACAGGAACACCCCCCCCCCCCCCCGCCCTAGCCTTGGAAGAAGCAATCCCTTTTCTAAAGAAAGCAAAGCTCCTACATAAGCAATAAACTGATCAATACCAACATTGATGAAACATCCATAACCACAGCTTTGAGGTTAATTCACTCCAACTTCCTAAAGTCATAGAAAGTGCCATTGTAACAAGGAATGGCGGGGTCCCCCAAAATGGGAACGTTCCCCCTACTAACCTGGCTTGGGGGGAAGGGGAAGCTGAGCAGGGCCACTGAGAGTTACTTAGCATATCTAAAGAACTTGGCCAGTGTTTTAGTAATGTTAAGTAGCTGTGCCTGGGAGATGGGCCAGACTCTAACTTGTGAGGAGGCTGAGGGGCTTGCTGAGAGAGGCCTGGAGGTGGCTCCTATATCACCTGCCACAAGCATGCTGCCCAGACTAACAATTGCAACTAAGACTAACAATGGCAACTGAGAAGGGCAGGAGATAAAGGGAAGGGCCGTTGAAACCCAGTGTGGGAGGAGTTAGAAATGGGGTTACAGAGGAAGATCCATGCTGGGATTTAAACCCCCATGTGGGGCAGCCATGCGCTTTTGACCATGTAGCTTAGAAAGGAAAAAAGCAGGACACAGCAGCTGTGTGGGGTCTTGGCCATGCGGTTTGAAAGAATGCAGAAGGACCCCCAGACTGGCCCACCATGAGAATGCAGTTTTGGATAAAGAGCAGGAGTCTAGCCGAGCATGGACAATTGGAAGAAGCCGGAATACAGAAGGGAATCTGCCCAGCTAAGCTACATACTTCTATTTCTTTCCCTGAGAGAAGTATCTCTGACTGACCTGGTTTGGCAAGGGGAGGCAGGAATGTGTGTTTCTGAGTGTTTCTTTCGTTTTTAAAGGGAGTGGGATTTAACAGCAGAATTCTGCCATTATTTTAAACCTGTATAACTTCTGAATAAATAATTCCTTTCCTTTTCTTAAGACTCTGGCATTGGAAGTCATGGCTCTTATCAGCAGTGGGCAATAGAATCCAGAGGTTCTGTTACACCAGGAAGGCAAAACTGAGGAAGCTAAGGAAAGGGTTAGGATTTGGGAACATCACTTTA